TGCTGCTGGGCGCCCCCACCCTCCCCGCATCTCCTTTCTCTGCCCACCGCCCTGCCCCCGTAGCTCCCCCCAGCGGCCCGGTGGCACCTGGGAGGTGTCCGAAGCGGCTTGGATTCCGCATTCACCCCGTGCCGAGTGCCCGGCTCGCTGGGGTCCGGGCGGAAGACAGCTGCCCCCGTGCGTAGAAACAGGCGCCGCACCAGCCCGGTTAGGCATGCTTCTGTCCGCACAGCAAGCCTGCAGGGTAGGTGCTCGCTCGCTCTCTCGTACGAAAGGAAAACCTGAGGCCTAGAGAAGTTAACTTGCCCAGGATCGCACAGCTAGGGAGGGCGTGCAAAGACAAGGTCGCTCTGTGTTCAGGAGCACGCTGCATGGGGCGCAGCAGGCAGGGGCACAGGCAGGAATAGTGCAGAACAGGTGAGTGTTCCCTGCACTGAGGTAGACATGCTTGCGAGGCGGGGGAAGCAGAGGGCACGGGCTGCCCTTGCAGTCCACACCCCTCCCGGCCTGAGCCTCTGTGATTTGAGCTGAGCTCGCAGGGAAGGCTAGGATTTCAGGCCGGGAGGACGGCTCCCGGCTCAGGGAGAGGCGGCAGTGCTCGCCTGTTCAAGGAACGGAGAGGTGTCCTTGCACCTGAAAAAGAGGGCTTTGGTCGGGAGCCTGCAGGAGAGAGGAGGCTGAGGGAGCGTTGGAAGGGGTTCCAACGCCTGGACTTCCACCACATGGGTGAAGAGCTGTTGAAGAATCTGGGGCTCTCTTACCATCAGCTCCTCTCAAGCACAGAGGTTTTGGCTTCCCTGGCAGGAGTCGGGACAGCCCCGTATTGTCCAGCCACCGTTTAATAAGGAGCTGGGCTTGAGCAGAAAGAGTCGCCACCTCCCACCAGGTAGTGTGAAAGCCTTACCCAGGGCCAGGTAAAAGTGGTAAGAAAACGGGAGGTGGGGAGGCCTCATTGTTTACAAAGTAGGAGTTTACTCAGGCCCTTTCTGCAATGCAAAGATTGTCATGATGGCCGACAGGTGCGCTTGGAGGCTGGGTGAGTAGGACTTCAGTGGATGGGGAGCTTCTGGAGCAAACTCTTGGAGGCTGGGATCATGATGGGGACAGGCGGTGGGGGGGGCGGGGGCGGAGGTGCTAGCCCAGTGCAGTCCCTGCAGCCCCTGGAAGGCAGGAGTGCCACGCACATCCAGCTTTCTGCCTGTCCAGTTCCTCTGAGGCCCAGCCAGAGCTCTTTCTTCTTCAGGTCAGAGGTCATCTGGTCCAGCCTCCCTGCAAACAGCCAGATCCTCTGGCCCCTGCTCAAACTCTCCTGTCACTTGTTTTCTGAGGTGTCCACCCATGTTCTAGTGCTCAGTGACTTTCCCTAGGTGCATCCACACTGGTTCCTAGTAGTCACTTCTTTATTTTGCAAATAGTCACTTACCATTTGTTTAGGAGTCATTTCCAGAATGTTGTAAGGTACTGTGGGTCCTCAGGCAACAGGCACGCCAGGAAGAGGCATGAATAGTGAGGACCGCCCCCCCACACACACACACTCTGACATGTGGGTGTCAGGTGGTCCAGCCCCCACCCAAAGCAAAATCTGCCCTTTCCTCAGTGTCCCCAACTGCCAGTCAATAAAGCCACTGTGGGAACTTTCCAGAGACAGGAAAGTCAGCTGCATGGGGAGGCTCCACGTCTGTGGGATGTTGCTGCTCATGCCAAAGTCAAACCTAATGGCGTTGTCTTACCTTCCCCTCCAATCTGTAAGGTGTGTCACAGCCTGGAGCAGCTACAAGAATGTCTGAGACACACACAGAAAAGAATGTCTAAGACCATAATTCTCCTCTTGGGAGGAGCAGTAGGAATAGTGACAGAAAAAGTCAGACTCTCGAGGGGCCTCGGGACTCATGTTATAGCAAAAAGCCTAACCTGGCTGGTGGAGATTTGCAAAAATGGTGATTTTTAATTTGGGGGGGGGGGTGGTAACTGGGTAGGGAACCAAATCAGATTGTCCTGTGGGGAGAGGAATTAACCACTAGGTTTTTATGTTTATTAAAAAGAGACACGAGCTGCTTTTAAAAAAGCAGTTGAGCAGCACTCTTGTTTGTGCCGTTTCAGTGAAGCAGCTGGGTTGTTTTTTTTGCTAGGTCATCATCAGTAGAGGTTCTTGTGTGATTATGATGGGAAGTGCTGGCTGGCCTCTAGTAAACCTGCAGTTTACCATTTCTCCACTAAAACACCCAGTAGTGCTCAGTCATCATTTGTTTAGCAGAATTGTACTGGGCGCCTGCCGCAGGCCATGCACCATGCTGTTAAAAGGGCCTGTGCAGCCTTCAGAGGTCATACAGAAGGGTGCAGGAGATAACCATAGGGCAGTGAATGCCACCATAGGGGTCTGCATGGCGTGCTGCAGAGGCCTGGAGGGACGGCAGCCCCCAGACTTGGGTGATGTGTGAGACACCCAGAGTAGGTGATCGTTAGACTGAAACCTGGCATGTGGCCCAGGGCATCCCCACTTTTCACATATGGGTTCCCACCCCTACTCCAGCTCCCCCACACCTAAGACAGCTGGGCTCACAGAACATGACTGGTGCAATGATCAATGCTGGTCTCTCTTTGTTTCTGGAAGATTTCTCCCTGGACAATGGCAGCTACCATTCAGGCAATGGAGAGGAAGATCGAATCGCAGGCTGCCCGCTTGCTCTCCCTAGAAGGTCGAACAGGGATGGCTGAGAAGAAGCTGGCCGACTGTGAGAAGACGACCTTGGAGTTCGGGAACCAGCTGGAGGGCAAGTGGGCCGTGCTGGGGACCCTGCTGCAGGAGTACGGGCTGCTGCAGAGGCGGCTGGAGAACATGGAGAACCTGCTGAGGAACAGGAACTTCTGGGTCCTGCGGCTGCCCCCGGGCAGCAAGGGAGAGGCCCCCAAGGTAAGCTGGGCACCTGGCGTGGGACAGCCCGAGGGGCTGTGCCTATAAACGTGGATGGCATGCGTGACACCCGAGGTTCCAGATGCCCATGACATGGCTGTCGATTTCTCCGAGCAGGAGTGGGGCAAGCTGGATGAATGGCAAAAGGAGCTGTACAAGCACGTGAGGAGGGGCAACTACGAGACACTGGTCTCCCTGGGTAAGGCCTGATAGTCATTTCTCTGTTCAGCGTTATTAGGGGAGTCCTCAGATCTCTCTTTTCATGCGGGTGGGTTTTATCACAAGGATATATAAATTACTGGAAACTTTGACCATGCAAAGAGTTATCTCTTCATTCTAAAGATGAGCGCTGGGTGACTGAGTTGTAAGGTCCCTTCCACCTGGCGAAATTCACAGGATACCAGACCGAGGTGGGGTGGCCCCTCACCTAACCAGGGGTGGAGCAAGGCTGTTTCCATTCCCCTGCTGAGGCTTAGAGAAGGCGCCTACCACTGACTCCAGGAGCTAATCCACCCACATGTGAGAAAGGCCTTCTCTTGTAGCTTTCTCTTACTGAGAGATGTGGCCTTGACTGTGACGCTCCTCTGCGTCAATGGAGAATGTGCGCAGACCATGCTTCTTGCGGCCAGTGCTGTCTTCATGCTCGAGACTTTGCTCCCCCAGACCCTGGGGCTGTTGCCACTCTCCTCATGTGATACCCCAGAAGGGCTGGGCTCTTTCTTCCTGGGCTCACTTCCTCTCGGGGTGTTTCTGTGACCCCAGACCTGGAGGCAGTGAGCATCCTTAGTGAGGATGGAGCAGGTGAAGGTGTGATGTTCTATTTCAGTTTGCAGAAATGTATCGCTTCTTAATGTAGAGACTATACCAGAGTTTCTTCACCTTGGCCCTGTGGCATTTGGGGCCAGATGATTCTGTGTGGTGGGGTAGCAGCATCCTGACCTCCACTCACAAGGTGCACCTCTCCTCCAGCCCTCAGGCCTGACAACCAGAAATGTCTCCCTGGGGATAGAATTGCTTGTGGTTGAGAACACTGCTCTGTGTCAATCAGGAAATTTAGTGTCTTGGCCATTCTGGGTTTCCCAGGCTGCTATCCCCAGCTCTGAATGGAACCACATGGCAAAAGCTAACCTTTATGTCTTTCCTCAGACTACGCCATCTCCAAGCCCGAGGTCCTCTCCCAGACTGAGCCAGGGAAGGAGCCGTGTGGCTGGCGCCGCACAGCCCCCAAGGTTCCAGATGTTCCTGTGGACCCGAGTCCAGGTGAGGAGCTGGGCGGGGGCCAGGGAGACGCTGGGCAGTCTGATGGAAACAGGAGTAAAGGGCCAGAGAGAGCATGGCCTTCTAAGTTTTGTTTTGTAGTTGAGTTGTGACCTATACCTTATTCAGCTAACACTCGGGAATACGTCCGAGCGTGGAAACAGATGGCAAACCCAGACTTTTAGGAAAGAAACAGAACCAGTAGCACTGAATTAGTGAAAGTGAAGGAAGGACATTGATAGGGAAGGTAGGCGTCTATTAAAGACAACATTGAGTTTCATGAAGAGTCAGCCTCTCCTCCACCCAAGAACTACATCTCATTGAAATTCTTTAGTTGTCTCAGAACATTAACCCATTAGCCACATATTAACCACACGTTTGCTATGATTTAGAACCAGATTGATTTAAGGAGAATCTGAATACCAGGTATCGCTGTCTCAGATTTTCCTAGAGCCAGTCAGCACCTTTGAAAGTTAAGGAAAGGACGGGTGGATGTGTGAGTCAAGCCACATGACTGAAGTAAGCCTGGCGGGGCTGTGGGGTAAACGACAGTCTGTCCCTTGACCAGGGAGACCCGCCTCCTCCTCTTCTGTCCCCGTCTGTCCCCCCATGCCTGGGCTTCCCTTTCTTCCCTTCACCTGTGTTGCTAAAGAGTCTTACTGTGTGTAATTTGTGGTGACTGAAATATGTCTGCTGTGTTTGCCGTTTCATTGCGACGACACTTTCACTTTTCCAAGAGCTGATGGTGTACAGAACCAGCCACACCATCAGTGGTCAGAGCATTCACCTGTTTAGGTGCCTAGGACAGCCTGAAAGCTAGAGGACAGCTTGACAAAGAGGGTTATGACACAGGATCTTGCAGTTTCTTAGTCTGGGTGGGAGGTTCACAGTGGGCTTGTTTTATTACATTTATAACATGAATGGTTTCTATACCATCATTAATAAGAGTGAAAGGGAACCTGGAAATAGGGCGGCTGCTGGTAAGACCCCCACATGCCCTGCCTACACATCGAGAATTGTGTATGGCCTTAATCCCCACCCGCCCCTGTCCAAGACCGGACCCCACTCACTCATCTCCTCTGGGCTTGGTGCAGCCCCTGTCAGACCTCCTCTCCAACTTCTCTCCAGCTCTAACTGCCGTGCTTTGTGGAACTCAGGTCTCAGCAAGACCTCCAACCCTCAGGCTCTCCTGGGTGTCCCTGCGCCACCATCCTTGCTCAGATGAGACCTGGGTCCCTGGGGGCCCGGTGTCCTCTGCAGCTTCCCCTTTCCCACACCCCCCCCGCCCCCGAAAAAAAAAGCCTGGCAGGGGCTGCTCTGTGCCAGGCCCCCCCTCCCTTGAATTACATGCTTTCCTCTCTCCACCGCCTTCTGCAGACCTCCCTCACTTATCTCTGCTCCTGCCATCGCTCTTGGCGATGGCAGTCCCACGAGGGTGGTCCTTTGAGCACCTGGCCTCTCTGTTCCTTAGCTCCCCACTCCCTCTCTGCCACCCACTCCCTGGTCATTCCCCTGACTGTTGGCGACAGCAGTGTACCTCTCCCATCGCCTCGATCTCAGCGCGCCCTCCCTGTCCTCCAGCTCCCGAGAGCCTTTGGGCCTGCTGCCTTTGCACTGCCGACCCGGCCACATTTCCCTCCTCACCCAGCCAGGGTTCCGGGCCCATCATCATCATTCTCTTGCACACACACTCAGCTCCCTCGCCCCTTTTATTCCTTGTTGTCCTCTAGCAAAACCATAATCCTGGTTTAACCTGTCTGCCATTCTGCACCAGCTCCCCAGCAGCTGCATGTGGCTGGAGAAAGCCCCACGTGCTCGCCATTTCTCACCTGGGATTCTGAGCGCAGTCGGCGTGTCTCCTCAGTCCATTCATTCAGTAGTCCAGAGGTTGACCAGCTGTGACCCATAGGCCAAATCGCCACCTTCTGTTTAGAATAGTTTTTATATGAAAATACATTATTTAATTGAAAAACAAAGCAAAACACACTTAGAGTCCTCACCATCCCATCTGCGCATCTGCCAGCATCTGTGCCCAGTTCTCTCTTGGCTCCTGTGACTTACGACAGACTGACAACCCTGTGGTCAGAGACCCTCCTCCACTGGGCACTCATTCCCATCCAGGCCACCTTCTCAAGGACTGTGGCTCAGCACTTCTTACCTGTCTCCCTCATCCCCGCCAGCATCTACCCCTGCTCATTCCCCAAAGCCTCTGCCCCACACTCCCTGCTGCCTCCACCCTGTCTTCCCACTATCCAGCCCCTTCACCTACTCCTGTCAAGGCCACCGGGACCTCCATGGTGCTAACAGTCCATCACCCTACCTGCCCTGTTGGTGACATTTGCTATTATTGATCCCTCACTTCCTAGATGCACTTTGCCTGATAGGACATCCTGCCCCCCTGGTGTTTCCCCCCAACTCACTCACCACTTTTCCTTTGCCAGGACATCCTGCCCACCCCCGCCCGGTGTTTCCCCCCAACTCACTCACCACTTTTCCTTTGCTGTGTCCTGTTGCTCTTTCTGACCTAACCGTCTTTCTTGCTGTTCCCCCAGCGCTCTAGGTACCGATCTCCGAGACTTTGCACCTGCTGTGTCCTCTGCCAGGACAGCTCTTCATATGTTTTCCTGCTCAATTCATTCCCTCCTTCTGGTCTCTGCTTAAATGTGACTTTCCCTAATCACCCTACTTAAAGGTGCAGCCCACTCCCCGCCTGGGAGTTCCAGCCTCCCTTTCCTGCCTTGTTTCATGACAGATACCATCATCTATTGTTATATTTTATATCTATGGATTATTGAGTGCATTTCATATTTATTTATGGATTTATGTAGTGTCTCTCCTCCCCCCCCCATTAGAATGTAAATTTCAAGAAGATAAGAACTTTGATCTGTTTTGCTCATATAATCATCTGGGCATCTAGAATACTGCCTGGCACAGAGTAGGAATTCAGTAAATACGTGTTGACTGTATGCTATGTTTCATAATTTAAAGTGTGTGTGTGTGTGTGTAAAAAATTTCTGATACAATTTAAATTCCGTTTTAGATCTCAGTCTTATTTGTCCCCGGGTAAATATCATATCTTTTCCACCCACATTTTAAAACGTCTATTATGTACATATGTAGGCATAAATAATCTATAATATATGTTTTTCTGTGTTTTGAAAAATTACGTAAATATCATATATTTATCACTCAATATTCGGTATTTCAGATTTATCCCTCTTGATGCATATAGATGTTCATCATTTTTACAGAAGCTTCATATTCCAAAAGCAACTGTATTACAGTTTATCCTCTGTCCCTCCATTGAGCTCTCTCTGATTTTTCTCTTATATGCGGTGTTGCAGTGAACATTCTAGAACATGCCTCTTTATGTACACAGGCTGATGTCTCCATAGGGACTAGACCGAGGGGTGGAACCCTGCATCACAGGGCGTGCTGGTCTGCACCTCTGCTGGGCTCCTGGTCTCTTCCGCGGGCACACGAGCTTGCACTACTGCCCAGCACTTAGGAAGGACCTGTTTTCTTAAATCTTTGCCCACTTTTCAGAGTTAGATTTTTGTCAATTGGATGCGGTTGAAATCATACCTTGTTTTAATTTGCATTTGAAGTTGAGCATCCTTTTCATAGGTTTATTTGGTTTCTTCTCCAGGGAAATGTCTCTTTCTGTTTTTCTACTGTTGTTTTCTTTTTCTTACTGATTCAGGACTTCTTTCTGTAGGTTCTCCACATGAACCCTTTCTTTGCCTTGCAGATACCTTCTCCCAGTCTGTGGCAGGTCTTTTCACCGTATAGTTCGCACATAGAAGTTTTCATTTGGGGTAGAGTCAGCATATCAGTCTTTTCCTTTATGATCCCTGCTTTTCTGTCTTAAGATACCCTTCCCTGCTCTAGCCAGTTTTGCTCAGTGGATAGAGCGTCGGTCTGCGGACTGAAGGGTTCTGGGTTTAATTCCAGTCAAGGGCACACGCCCAGGTTGTGGGCTCGATCCCCTGTGTGGGGTGTGCAGGAGGCAGCCTATCAATGATTCTCTCATCATTGATGTTTCTATCACTCTCCCCCTCTCCCTTCCTCTCTGAAATCAGTAAAAATATATATTTTAAAAGATACCCTTCCCTGCCTCTCCCCAGCTCAGAAAGACAGCCTTCATTATTTCTTATTAAACTTTTAAAGTTTTGTTTTTTTCACATTTAAGTCTTTAATCCATCTAGAATTAATATTTGTGTAGATTGCAAGGGAAAATTTTAAAAATTTCCCCCATGAGTACGTCTGATTTTCCCACAAAGTTTGCTGAACATTGTCTTTTCTGTGATGATTTGTGATAGCAGTTCCATGGGGAGCCAGGTTTCCATGTGGGCAGATGCAGTTTCTGGGCTCTGTCTGATGTTTCTTGGTCTCTGCCATCTCTGCACCCACACGGACTGTTGGAGCTTCCTAGGAAGCCAGATTCTAGGAGACCAAGCCTTTCCTACTCCTTTTCAGAACTTTTCATGGCTATTCTTGGACCTTTGTTCTATATGAGTTTCAGAAGCTTTATGGCAAGTTCTCAGAAAATCCTATTGAAATTTTGATAGGAATTGTACTTTATAATTTTGTTTCTGGAGAATTACCCTCATTCCAATGCTGAGTCCCTCTATCCATAGAAAGACTTATCTCCTGAAGGCTTCTATGTGCTTGAACAAGTTTTTACAGTTTTCTTCCGAGAGTTATTATTTGTATTCTGAATGGGATTTTTATTTTTATTTTATTTTATTTTATTTTTTATTGCTTAAAGTATTACAAAGGGTATTACATATGTGTCCTTTTTTTCCCCCCGCCCTTGACAATCCCCTGGCCTCCCCTACCCCCCAGGGGTTTTTTTTTTAAATATATTTTATTGATTTTTTACAGAGAGGAAGGGAGAGGGATAGAGAGTTAGAAACATCCATCAGCTGCCTCCTGCACACCCCCTACTGGGGATGTGCCAGAAACCAAGGTACATGCCCTTGACCGGAATCTAACCTGGG